CTGGGCCTGCGCTCTGGGTCTGTTCAGGATCCCGCAGCTCGGGTGGTCTCACTCCCTCGCTGGGCCTGCGCTCTGGGTCTGTGCAGGATCCCGCGGCCCCGGTCGTCTCACTCACTTGCCGGACCTGTGCTGTGGATCTGTTCAGGATTCCGCGGCGCTGGGTCGTCTCACTCCGGAAGAACAACTCTTGGGGGCAGAGTACTTTGACCCCTTCCAAGCCAGTAGTGTCCACTTAAAAGTCTGAAAATGTCCTCTCACCAAGAGGAGAAGGCCCTGGAAATGCACAGCCCACCTTTCTCAGGATAGTTGCTGAGAGGTACAGTGAGGGTGCCAGAGCCTCTAACCCAGATGGTGCCTTCAATTCTGAACCTGTTAACAGGACGGAAACTCTGAGTGTTTCCCATCAGAAGGTGAGCTAACCCTGAACTGTGTCACCTGTCCTGTCACTGGCCAAGGCCCACATCCACTCAACACCTGAGTGGCTGCTGAATTCAGGAGTGACCAACATTTCTGTGTAGTCTGATTGTGTTAAGTCACAGTCAAATTAAACCACAGACAGGTTCTCTACAGATACTAGAGTTGGCAACTAGCCAACAAAAGCATTCTGAAAAACTTGATTATACAGACTTACAATAAAGAACATTGGACATTTCATTTTTATTTGTAAGTCATGTTCTGCACTTTCTCTTAGCCAATAAGGTTTATAATAAACTGACATACACACATACATACATAGACATGTGCTTTTTCCTCTAAGATCTCATTTTAAGCTTTTACTAGCATACTGCTGCTTAAACACTTTTGTGTCCTGTGCACAGGACTCTGCCCAGTCTACTGCTTTGGATATACTCACTTTATTAGTTGCCCAAATAGGGTTCTTAACCTTCCAGATTTTCTTTTCTTTTGCATGGTGCTATCAGTCAAACCCAGGGCCTATGTATACTAGGCAAGTGCTTGACCTCTGAACCCCAGCCCCAGTCCCTTCCTGGCTTTTTCTTTGGGGTTCTCCTCCATCCCTTTGGTTTTCTTGAGACAAGGCCTTGTTATGCAGTTCAGACTGGCCTCAAACTCTGTGATCATCCTGCCTCTGCCTCTTGAGTGCTGGGATCACAGGCAGATCCCATTTTGCGTGGCCTGCTGGCTTTTTTCTTACCTTTGCCTCAAGACTATTTGTTGGACTTTGGGTGTAGCTTGGTGGTTAGAGTACTTGGCTAACATGTGAGACCCTGGCTTCCATCCCTGTTACTGCAAGGGAGGAGGTGTTTGACTGCTTAAGGGTAAATTCCTTGTCAGTACTAGAAGCTCAGCAGTAGGCCGTTGGCCTTTCATAGTCACCCCTGAAGTGCATGGGTATTCAGAGGAAAGTTGGTTCTACCAGATAAAACAGTGACCTGTGGAGACCTGGTCCTTCATTCTTACAGGTTCCTCTAAAGTGATGAGTGTCATGGGGAGTTCAGGTCACATAGGCTTTGACGTGGAAAGACGATTCTCTAGAATGGGTTTAGCACCCCTTTCAAACCACACCAAGGGATAGCTGCCTATAGGGGTGGGGGCTTGGTGCAGCCTCAATTTGGTGCCTCCTGCAACTGCTGCAGTAGGACTAGTTTTGCAGAGTTGTCATGAGCAGGGCTGCCCGGCATAAGCCCCTTGCAATTTTCCTATCCAGTGAGCTTCTCATCAAGCTTAGCAAAGATCATCCTGGGGCAAGCTTGACCTCCCATATTACAACCCCAGAGAGAAGGTGCTGGGAAGTCCAGACTCTTGAGAGTCCCCTCTGCTGCCCGAGATAGGACCAGAGCATTGCTGCCATCTGGCTCAGAGTGCCACCTGCCTGGGCTACTTAGGGGATTAACTGTGGTAGCTTTTTTTTTTTAGTTTTTTGTTTTGTTTTGTTTGTTTTTTTGTGCAGGGTCTCACTACACAGCCCACATTAGTAGTGATCCTCCTGATTTCTGCCTCCCAAGTGCTGGGATTACAGGTGCACGCCACCGCGCCTGGACTCCAACGTTGGCTCAGCGCACCTGGAGGTGGGGCCAGTGTGGCACGTGGAACAAGGGATCAAACCAAATGCTTTTAGGGTTAAATTTTTTTTTCTTTTTTAAGATAAGTGCTAATGGAGGGCATTTTCATTCTCACATTTTTTTAAACATTTAATCTGTATAAATTGTTATAAGTTACTGACTTAAAAATTAAGCCCTTTGCTTGATGGATCTACCTCCACCCTACCCCATACTATCAGAGCAAAAAGTAACAAATCACATATATTTACCAAAGCCAAAACTTAGATAGACAGATAGATAGATAGATAGATAGATAGATAGATAGATGAAGAGTTGAAGCCCTGAATATGTTTATTTGGGGATTTTTCTTGGCCAGAGCCTGGCTGCATACCTTGGCTTTGAGTTACTAATACACACAATGGGGTGGATGGACCCAGGCACTTTTATAACTGTCTTTCCTAGAATCTAGAACCCCACAGACAGCTCCATTCCCTGGAGGTCAGGTAATGGCTGTTTTCCATAGTCATGAAAATCTCTGGGGAGAGACATGGCAGTGTGACAAGGGCTATTAAAGGGACATTAGGACTGAGTGGCTGCTCAGGCAGTCTCATACCCTTGATCCCAGCTGCAGGGCCGGCTGCCAGCACTGGCCAGTTGCAGCCGTGCTTCCCAGCCCTGTGGCTGGCCATTTAGGTCTTGCGGCAACCAGTGACTGGACTGAATTCCAGGGAAGGGGACAGGTTCCTGGAAGAACACTTTGCTCTCTTTTCCACACAAAAATGAACACTTAAAATAATTGTTAATAATATCAGCTAACAATTACCTTGCTTCATGTGTGGCAGGCCTGTTTTGAGGATCATCTCATTAAGCAAAATGCTTATCCCATCCCTCGCTCTATGACCAGAGGCAGATGAAGCAGACTGAAGGGATTCTCAGTGTGGGAAGACAGATGGTTCCTTTCCCTCTCTAGACCTTAAAAGTGACAGGAAACTCACTGCCTTCCTTGCCTGAGCACCTCACACATTTTTCCACATTTCAGGGATTGAGGCTAATAAACAGGTTAAGGGCCCTCACAAAGCCTTTGGAGGGCTCCCATACTGAGCCTGCCATCTCCCTGCAGGAGGTCTTTATTTCCTTTCTTCTGTCCAGCTTTTTTTTGGTTGGGGGAGACTTACTGGGTAGTGAATGGGTACTTAAAACCAATGCAATGACAGTGGTATCCAAGGCCATTTCAAGAAGCATAAATTTTAGTGTTGGAGAGCTTTTTATTTCTGGGCAGGTCAGGGCCCACATAGGATCCTAAGGACCTGCTATGGAGCCTCTGGATTTTGAGCATCTTGGTGGCATGGGTCTTTACAAGGTTCTGTGTCTTTTCCTTTGGGGTCAGTAAGTAGATGTGAGCTGCTCCAGACAGGTGAGAGACAAAACAGGCAAAAGCCAGAGGCTCGTGAAGGGTCCTAAGTTCAGCAGCACTATTAAAAGAGCCTGGCCCTTCTGTGCTGACAAACAGGGAAGGTGGTGCACTCTCGGGCTAAACTCGTCCTCTGCCCACTTCATAGCTCAGCTCTCCAGAGGCTGCAGGGACACAGACAGACCTCTGGTAAGGAGTAGGGATGATAAAGCCCACATTGCAGAATTGGTAGCAAGGACTAAGTGAAATAACTAATGTAGAAAAGCTTGAAAAATAACCAGGACGAGAGTACTGGAGAATGGGAAGAAGGGTCCCTGGTGCTTTTTGCCTGGATATGCTGAGCGATTTCATAAGGAAAGGGAAAAGGATGGTTTTTCACCTCTAGGATCAGCCTAATTTCTACCCTTTTCTGCCCATGCTGAGGGAGCCCATGCTTCGTGAGGCACAGCCAGAGTCCTAGGAAGACTGCATGGCCCAGGGGTATGCTGGCTCTACTTGCAGCCTCTGCAGGGACATAGGACTAGTGAGTGAGGCTTTGCTCTGGAGCCATCCAGGGAGAAGAGAGTGTCTTGTCTCCACATGTTTCCTCCATAAGGAGCTGACTGCGCCACGTGAGTAGGCCCTTGGGCTGAAGGGCTGTGAGGAGCTGGCTCTCTTGGCCCTTCTCCTTCCAACCTTTGCTAATCGATCTCGACACTCACAGCCTGGACCTTGGCAGACTTTCAACAATGCCAGAGTTGGCATGTGAGTTGAAGCCCACTTGCCAATTTGCAGTAAGGCAACAGCCTTCTTTGGCAAAAAAGAACACAGAATTAACCACTTCACGTCAGCAGACTCATGCTGGGTTTCAGGCATGGTGGAGAGGATCTTTTTTTTTTTTTTTT